AGCTACACTAACTTGAGGGGGTTACTTTTTAGTTTCTGCATAGTATGCTTAACTGTGTGCTGTATATAACAGTCAATATTTTGGTATTTTAGAAGATGGCAATATGCTGTATTGCTGTGATCTATATATAGTTATGCTTGAGTTGGAAGAAATAATTTGGCACATCCACTACCAATAACACATGTTTGGTAGGTATCATGTCTGCCAAAAAAAATTTCCATTTGCACAGTGCTTGCTTTCCTATGGCATTACTTACTTGTTCATCCTGGGACATAATGTCAGCCTTACTATGTCCTGTAAAATAATTTAATTTGTATGCACAGTGAATTTATGTTATCTAGAAGCTGTCTATGTCTGATAGCATTTCCTAGGGACAACGGACTCTGGTGAAAGAAACACCAAAAACATTTTGAAAGTCAGCACAGACCGCTTTGGCATCACAGTGTAGCTGGTGTGCCCATGAACAGGGTTGCCAATGGTGTCCCAGATTTGTAGAGAAATGGCTTCCTAGCTGGTGAATCCCATGTGACTTTGTATGTATAGGGGGTAATTAGTTAAATAAGCAGAATGAGTTGATGGTGCTGGTGACCTTACAATGCGGAAGAGAAGTGTGGTGTGACCATGGACTGAAGAGGGGATGGCTGTCAGGGAATCGAGGGTGAGAGGGTCTGTCAAGAGAGGATGGCTGTCAGGGAATCGAGGGTGAGAGGGTCTGTCAAGAGAGGATGGCTGTCAGGGAATCAAGGGTGAGAGGGTCTGTCTGTTGCAAGAGAAGCACAGAAAAGACGTGGCCTGCAGGAAGCACGGCGGCTTGTTTTAATTAGTGGCAAATGGCTGCCTTCATGTCTACATGGAATTTATTCAAATCCCTGACTGTTACTTGCAGATTTTAAGGGAAGAGAGGAAAGGGGGGACAAACCTGTTCATTTATAGGGGAGGAAACACAAATGGTTGCTGTGTCTACCAAAAGCTGAGCAATTTCACTAAAAAGGGGTGGGACAATGCTTACGCAAGAATGTTATCAGGAAGCAGTCTTTGGGGCAGCCAGCAAGTTGATGGATGTCCCAAGGTGGAAAATACCATGACCCAAGGTCTTATCCTTCCCAAGTCAATTTTATAGGGAATTTAAAGATGAAGGGACTTGGCCTGTGGGATAAGCTGCACCCTGTCGAAGGCAACCTGTGACTTCCAGGAAAGCTTTGCTGCGTCTTCACTATCTTAGTTTGAGTTTTGTTGCTGGGAAGAGACACCATGACCATGGCAGCTCTTAAAAAGGCAAACACTTTATTGGGGCTGGCTTCCAGTCTCAGAGGCTCACTCCATCATCATCATGGTGGAAAACATGGCAGCCTGCAGGCAGACCAGGTGCTGGAGAAGGAGCTGAGAGCTCCTCATTTTGATGTACAGACACAGCTTGAGCATATGAGACCTCAAAGCCCATCCCCAGTGGCACACCTACTCCCACAAGGCCACGCTTCCTTAACAGTGCCACTCCCCAGTGGCCAACCATTCAAACACATGAGTCTATGGGAGCCGTTCCTATGCAAACCACCACATTGGCAAACCTGCTGGTGTCTTAATGTTGTACTTGAAGGAGGATGGTGGTCCCCAGAGGTGGATGCTGTCAGGTGGCTGCTCTCAATGTAGAGAAGGGGTCAAGGACTTGGTCTAGGATGGTGGCCGTAGAGTCAGAGCAAAGCAATGGCTTTTCTGGAGCATATTTCAGAACCTCACAGCTGGACTTCCAGGCACTGCCTTCTGAACTTCCAGAATAGCCCAGTGATGTTGCTGCCTGGGGTGAGGTACCCCAATCACTTTAGGGACTGATTCTAATTGTATTTTACCCTCTCTAAAACTCTAAAGGCCATAATAGAAGACTTTGTGTTACAAAAGCATTGAGGTGCAACTGCTGTAATAGCTTAAGGTAACATCATACCATGACCCCCCCAAACCAAGAACGTATCACCCCATTGCCGTTACTGGTGCCCCTTGAGCACCATATGAAAACAGGCTTCAAGCAAACCTTACCATCCATGCAGCTGCATACCACCTGAAATAGTCAGGGTATCAGAGTCAAGTTCACCTAGCATACACGGAGCACACTCTTGGCCAGGCCTGTCTGAGAGATAACATATGATGAATTCTTCATCAGCATTCTTGTGACATTTCACAAATGACAGAGGCCTGCAAGATAGAAAAGTCCCCAGATTGAGATATTTAACTTCTCCCAGTTTACATTATTTGCCTGGGTTACGATTGATGTTAGGATTATTTATATCGCCTTATACATTCAGGCCAAGAATGAAGAGTAAAATGATTGCCACAGTCACTGGGATTCTCACACAATGGAAATCCCACTTTCCACCCACAGAGAGTTTACAGTGGCTTTGGCAATTGGGTAGAGGGTGGGGGTAGAGGGAGAGGGGCACAGTGTCTCTTGAGCATTACCCAGAAGCTCCGATGACTGTGGTGAACTGGTCATGGGTGCTGCATAGACCACACCCCCAGATTCCTAGAGGAAATAATCTGTTTCTGTTTGCAGTTATATTTAGAAGAACTCAGTGACAGGATTAAGCACTGGTGACATTATACCCTAATTTCTGAACAGCAGCTTTGGGAATTTAAACAGTGGTTGTTTACAGAATTCACGTGGGAAACTATTGTGAAGATTTGTTGACTGTGATACAAAAGGGTGCAAATTGCATGGGCATAATTCTGCATTTTGTGGTGTCTATGTTTCCTTTGCTGGGATTTTTATGTGAGGTGTGTGTGTGTGCGTGTTTCTGCTAGGACCCGATCTCTAAACTATAAATTGAGATTTTAATTGAGTTTTCAGTGTTTGGTTTGTGTTTCTTATATGAAATTCAGAACATTCCTATCAATGATTTAAATACAATTTTACACAGAACCAGGCTAGATTTTCTTTGACTAGTATCATTTTAACCAAATTACTAACCCCAACAAAAAATAAATAATAAATAAAAGGCATAACCTTTAAAAATACCTTCTCAACCTCCGAAAATGGTTTTCTGAAAAACCACCCTAGGAAGATTCATGGTGAAGAAGACAGAAACACAATAGGAAAAGGTGACCTGTGACCTTAAACAGGTCTCCAGCCCATACCATGGGAAGAATGATATACCAAATAAAAAGGCCATCAACCGTAGAAACATATGGACCACAGTTGTATCTGATATAATGCAATTTGTATTATTTCTTGACCTTGACCAGCAGGTCATTTTCAGTGACAGGGTCCTGAGAATGAAGACCAGGAGATAAAGAGGGTAGAAGATGGAGAAGACGAGAAAGTTTGGGATTGGAGGTCTTGCACAAGTTATGCCTTTTATCAGGCAAGCTTGTTAAGAAGTGCAGCATCATATACACTGTTTCCATGGGAGAAATGGGACAAAGTGAGCAGAAGCTACCATACAATGGGACCAAGCCAGCAGGAAGTTAATCAAACAGTGTCACCCAAGGGCACATGGGGAATCTCTAGAGCATCACAGTGTGAGCACACAGGCCTCAGGACTGGTGACTAAGCTCCAAACATTGGGTTCTCAGGATCAGAAGATACAGCTTCTTGAAGCCCTGGTGCAGGCCATTACCAGCTCTGCCAAGCATGTTCCTGGTTTTAGAGATAGAGCCCTGTTCCATCTCCATGCTTCAGGGCTCCAGGGAAAGAGTCAGTTGATCAGTCTAGCCCTCAACAATTTTGTTTATAACTGGTTCATGCTTGTAGAAATCAAACAGTATTTTCGAGTTATTTCATTCCCTAAATATTTATCAGAGACCCTTGTGGTTTTTTTCTTGAGAAATTTCATGCTATTTGTGAATTCCTAGCCTATTGCAAATCATTTTCATTTTCCTGTATGCTTGGCATGACCAATAACTTTTTTTTGGTAGTCTGGGTGTGGTCCCAGGTGGCACGTGCTGGTATCATGACTTACTCCTGGGACCCGGAGACCCTAGCTGTGATCTGTGCCCTTGGGGAAAGGATTTCCACTCGAAATGTATTGCTAGTTTACTCTCAAAGTTCATCAAGAGTGATCAAGTCCTTCTGGGGGAGGGGTGTTCAGACAACACAGGTCTTCCTTTCCATAGAATGTCAGAGACAGATGTAGCTTACACTGAACAAAAGGAAGTTTATCCACTTACCTCTGGAACTGTATTCCTTTGCAAAGGGCCTTACATCAGCATTGACTTCTGCTGTGTATTCTACTTAGAAATATATGCAGACATAGTCTTCACCCTGTGGCCAGGTTAATGATATTTATACACACCCTCATCACTGGTGAGAGATAGGGATCTAAGCTGGGATGGACTGGCTTGTCCTGGTCTGAATCGAATCGGTTTATCTTTGGTTTACCCTAAAATTGCAGCAGAGAGCCTGCTTCCTCCTGGGATCTGAATGTAAAATAACTAAAGCAGATTGAACTTGGCAGTGACTAATGGAGTCTCGTGCAGAAGTTGGCAAGTTGGTGGGTTTCTGCATATCAGGAGGAAGAGCAGAGGAACCAGAGCCACTTTGCGATCCAGGCATGTCTCCTCCCTCCACCAACCGGGCTCTATTGGGGGAGGGCAAAGACCCCACCTACTTGCTTCCTAAAGACATCAAATTCAGAGTGTACAAATTTGTTACATTACTGATAATTCCCAGACAGCTTCCTTGTTTAATGAGCCATTTCAGCTGCCTGGAGGTATGCTTCATAACAATAATTTTAATCAGTCGCATAAAATCTATGGAGCTGGGTGCAAACTAGCATGAATTAGAATGGTGGAAATGTTTCTTTGATCGCTCCATCCTGGCTGGCCACCATTAGCACCCGGGAAGGGCTCCCTGTCATTAGGAACATGACTGTGTCCCAGCATGTGCTAAGTGTGCCGCCTTCTTGTTTTATTTTGTCTGTTGTCTGTATCCATGCATTTCCACATATCAATACATGTGTAGACCTCTACTTCAGAGGCAGCCCGAGTAATTTCTTTGCTTTTAAATGTTTTAGGTTTAACCTCCAATGTGATCTCCGGAATTCCTGGTATCGTGTGGCTTACACACATAGGTGACGTATCTAGACTGTGTTTTGAAAGATGGGGATTGGGCCCTGTCTTCAGATCGACTCCCCCTGCCCATGCCCACCCTGAGAGGCAAGACTTGTGTTTTCCAGCTCATTAAACTGACAGCAGAAATTAGTTTGTGGTATTAAAAACTAAAACGTTAAATTATAGCTACATGTGTCCTCTATGCAATGGGGCGTGTGGAAGATGTTTGATTTTAGTGTTTGCTATAATGGAGAATTTAAATTACGATGTTTGTCAAATCTCTAATCTTTGTTACAGAGTGGAATATTAATTACGCTTTTAACTCGAAGAGGTAAATAAAATGAGCATCCACTTCACGCCCAGGGGTAAATTGCAGATTACTGACAACTTGACATAATGCTCCAAAATGTCAGTTTTGTCAAACAAATTTAGAGGAACTGGTTAAACTATTAGCTTCCCATTGCTCCAGCCCCTTTACCGAAGCCAACAAGGGTTCTGAGCAGCAGGAACGCTGTGCCTTGTGGGAGACTGAGGGAGTTAAACAGAATAAGCAAGATGGATGAGGAGACAAGGCCACAGATGCACTCAATTAGTTTATATCTGTCTATTAACTTCTGCGGGTGGCTTTGGATAAACAGCAGATTAACTCTTGCCCATCTGTGGGATCTGCAAAGCCTTGGGAAAGGCTGGAGGGTGCCCAGCGGGATGAAGATGCTGGCCTCTCGTTTTTTTCCCCTGCTCCCACTTTGCAATTTGTGCCTGTGAGACATTAGCAATGTCTGTCAGAGTTCTAGGCACTTTAAAGGAAAAGGGGAGTGGCCTGTGGCCTGGAGCCACCAAAGACTTTGAGTTGCTGTAATTGTTTCAGAAACTGTACTTGGGGAGAAAGGATTGAATCTCACTTCTTTGAACATTCAAGAAATTAAAAATCCTCCGTAGGTGACGATATCCAGGACTTCTTCTCTGGAAAGGCAGTCTGGGGTGGGCACTGGCGGTGCCCCGGCCTGACAGACAGGGTACATGGCATGGGGGCCTCGGCATCAGAAGTCACAGTGGGCTGTTCTCAGCGTGCACATAGACTCCATTGTCTCCTCATCCCCTTGCAGAGCAGGAGGAAAATGTGTGGTGTGATCATTAGGATCATTAGGGGCAGCAACATTCCCTATGAAATCATTGAAGACACAGAATTCAAGGAATGGAATCACTTAGAGGGGAGATGCACACACACCCATGAGTGCACACATACACTTATATTCATTCTCACACATACCATAAAGGGACTTATTTATCCTTTACCATTGTCTTTGGGTTGTTATTGCTATGATGAAACAGAACAACTAAAAGCAAGATGGAGAGGAAAGGGTTCATTTGGCTTACGCTTAAACAGTACAGTCCATCATTGAAAGAAGTCAGGACAGGAACTCAAACAGGGCAGGGACCTAGTGTCAGGGACAATGCAGAGGCCATGGAGGAGAGCTGCCCACTGGCTCACTTCCATGACTTGCTCAGTGAACTTTCTTACAGAGCCCAGCACCACCAGCTCACGGATGGCCCCACCCACAATGGGCTGGGCCCTCCCACATCAATCACTAATTAAGAAAATGCCCTATAGGCTTGCATACAACCCATCTTATGGACTCATTTCTTTTTTCAACTGAGGTTCCATCCTCTCTGATGACTCTAGCTTGTGTCAAGTTGGCACAACACTGGCCAGGACAACTATTTTATAATGACCAGGAAGTTTGGGTATGTTGTTCCCTGTGTGGGCCTTCCCTATACGGAACCAATTAGCAACAGAGAATCAAGGATAAAAAGTAAGATATTTATTATGTTGCATTAAATATACCCAATAAATAAGTTGTTTTGTTTTGTTTTTCAGTTAAGAATAAAATTCATCTAAGTCTTAGATATTTGTTTGGATAGCTATGCCTGTGGTTGCTGGTTTACATTAGTAGAGATTTTTCTTCCGTGATCTCTTGAATTGCCCATCTCAAGAGCCTTGGTGTTTCAATGTTTGTTTCTCTGAACTAGATAGAGCATTTATGTGCCGATGAGTTTTGCTAAATTTTATGCCTCTTACATAGTCACTCTACAAACAGAGTGAAGGCAGTGTATTCACTAACCCCAGTGTACCCTACAGAACCCTTACCAAGCAAGACCCCAATGAACATGATAAGATGAAAGGTGAACTAAGATTCTAGCGGCTGTCTTCGCAAAAGAAGGCATTTGACATGTCTTAGACTTCAACATTTTCCTTCTGTTTCTGCCACTACAGAATTGAACAGGGTTTACCCCTTCTGTTTCCCACCCACTAGGCTACTACAGAATCAAACAGGGGTTTACTTTACAAGACTAAACTAGAGATGCACTTAAAGAAAATCTTTCATCCAGCTGGGTGTGGTGGCTGGTGCCTGGAATCCCAGCGTTTGTCGCATAGAGTCAGGAGGGTAAGTCATGTTAACCTCAGCTACACAGCAAGTAGGAGACTACCGTGGGCTACATGAGGCCCTATCTCAAATAAACAACAACAAAATCATTCTCCAAATTATAACTGCAACTAACACCTCCCTTTCTGTGTCCCCTGCCTCCTCACCATTGCTGTGGTTGATGTGTACTGTTGTTGCTTATATGCCACAGTCACCTTGGAATTTTCACAAGTGGTGGCTGTCATCATCATCCTGTATTTGTGGGGGGACTTTTGGAATTTGAATGTATGAACTGTGGGAGAGACTAAGGCATCTGGACATCTTAGCTATGGGGCGGTGGTGGGAGCATCAGACGTGTCTTACATGCCACTAGGCTGCAGAGCAACCGTCTTTTTTATCGTTACTCCTGTCTAGATAGCCCTTACCTAATATCTGCACCGCACAGCTTCTCATTCAATCATCATGACCACAAGGAAGGGATTGGTCTCCCTGCTGTCCATGTAGAGAAAGTAAGACTCAGGTGTCAGCGACTTTGATACGGAAATCGAGAACTGTCTGGTGTAGAAGGGAGTCTCCTTGCATCACTGTTTTCTCAATGAAATAAGAAGCTTTTATCTGAAAGGAGAGGAGAAGCTAACAGAAACAGGAGGAGATAAAAGGCAATGGAACCTTAACTTCTCTCAAATTTAATGTCTGTCTCATTATTCTTTCCCTCCATGTGACTCTTCTTGTCTAAGATTTATGTACTGATTTCCCAGCCTGGCTTCTAAGGGATTCCATCGATAACAAGTAGTGTCAGGGTTTTTCTGTAGGCAGCTCACATCTTCCTTCTTTTTACAAAAGTAGATTGGTGGATTCAGAATAAACTCTGAAAGATATGGCCATCTAATGATAATTTTAAGAGCTAGCTCCTACACCTTGTTAAAAACAGAAACGTTAAGGCAGCTTCAAGTCCAGTAGCCTAGAGTTGAAAAGCTAAATAAAAGGTTTCCAACCCTACAACTTCCTATGAATTCGTCTCCCATGCTACAGACACTTTTCAAATAACCAGTTCCCTTGCTGTGCGGTGAGAAGACTGGGGTCTGAGTGTGGCCCTTGGCATGTTAAGAAGACACAGCACACTCTCCCTGATGCTCAGTCATGGTGCCTTCCAAGCTTGTGTGAGACAAAAGAGAAACTCAGGTCAGTTGATAAAGAAGGGAGCTCACTTTCACCATTTTCACACTAAGCACTTGTTCCGAGCCTCCTCGATACTGCCACCCCTTCATAAAGCTCCTCATGGTGACCCCCAACCATAAAATTATTTTCATTGCTACTTCATAACCATAATTTTGCTACTGTTATGAATCACAATGTAAATATCTGTGTTTTCTGATGGCCTCAGGCAACTCATCTGAAAGGATCATTCCACCGCCAAAGGGGTCAGAATGCACAGGCTGAGAACCGTTCCTATATAAGATCTTCTATGTTTCGACTGTTCAAATATTACCTCACACAATCCAAGGGCTGTGTTTCATGTCGAGTGCCAGGATGGGTCTGTTGGCATGATTTTACTATGGGAAGGGGCAGGTGTTTTAGAAATCTAGCAAAACCACAAATCTCCTCGGGTTTTTTGTTTTGTTTTGTTTTGTTGTGTGTGTGTGTGTGTGTGTTAATATATTTATAAAATATTTATAAAAATAAATATACAAATACATTTCCATGTATATATTGTGTGTATGGAAAGCTTTCAAATACCGTCACCTACTACCTGTTGTCTCTTGAGGCTCTGATATACTCAGAGCCTCTCACATGACTCAGATTTGGGACAGGAGGTTGGAGCCCTTCCCTCTGCTTTGGAAGTGAGAAGAAAAGATGGTGCCTGCTGGTACCAGCTCTGAGTGTTGCCAGCACTGTTTGCAAGCATCTCCCAGATAAGCAGATGGCTTCTTTAATGATGAACCTAATTTTTCTAAAATGCTAATGAGTTAGCAGAAGATAATTTGAAAGTCTGCCATATATTGCAGGAAATGTCTTTTGTGTCTGTATGCTATGCTTCTAAGAGTCACGCAGCTATCGTCTGTGCGGTGGGATCAGTTTCTCTTAAATGCTGTCACTCTGATCACTGGAAAAGGAGAAAGATGGTTCACAAGAAAAAGGGATCATGCAGGATGAAACAACCTATTAAAATTAAAGCTATTTTCTGTCCACAAAACCTAGGCCTTCGAGTGGCTTTTTGAAGCATCTATTTGGAACAGGCTTCACACAGCGCGTGCCCTTCCGTCTCTCCAGTCCCCTGAAACTCAGATGCAGCTGATCTGACTATGAGCCTGCCAAGCCAGAGATCTTGCCCAGAATATGCTAGAAAGAAAAGAGAGAGAATGAAAACAATGAAGATCTGGAGCTCTGTTTGGCTGCTATACGTGATATATTTGCAACACGGGTCAGACCCCCACGCTTTCACACATAGCATGATATGGCCATCCTTAGCATACTTGTTTGTCAAATAAACCGTACAAGATGTAAAATCCCCCCACACTCTAAGCGTGGCTGATTCCTGTCATTTAGGACGCCCCTATGGTATCTGTGTTTTCTGTGATCTGTGATCACGGGGT